ATGCAAAATAGGAAGAAAAGGTCCAAAGGGGTAGGGGTAGTGGAAGGGGTAGGGGAAAGGAAAGAAGGGAAAGGAAAAATGATGAGAAATGAAAAAAATGGAAATAAAGTCTTTGTAAATAGGGAAGGGTGGAGGGTGTGAAGGGAGGGCAGGGGATGGGGGAAAAAAAAGAACCAAGATCCATCATGTAAAGGTACAATTCCCAATGAGAAATGTAAATGTATTGTATACCTACAATGTACCAATAAAAGAATTTAAGGAAAAAGAAAGAAAGAAAGATGGACATTTGAACACTATCGAGTGCGTTTAGGTGACACGATTCTTTCATGTTGATTCCTGAATGACCCAGTTCATGAACTACTCACTACTCACTTGGTCATCAAGTCTGCAAGGAAAAAGCCGTTATTCAAAATAGTATAATACGCTCCAAATAAACTCAAATGATTTATTTTTGACACAAATATGTAACTTCGACATGAGATGTCTAACTCAAGCAACTGCTTCCCAAAAGACCAAGACAGCGTCTCTTCTTCTAAGGTTTAGGTTTTGCCCAGAACTCCTGACACATGGAGTAGCCCATACCAAGGGTCATTGCTCCTACAACAAAGGCTTGGGCTGCTACACACATGTGGATCAGGTGAACGGACATTTAGGGTTCCCCTGCTCTTCAATTTATATAACCCACATGCAACAATTGCTGCAAAGATCACTGTTCCAAGAGGGACAAACGTCACCTCTTTAGCTTTTTGGATAAGGTTAGATTCCTGACCTTCACTGTATGAAGAAAGGGAAACATCCATGTTCCCTGACATAGTGACTACTTGAAGAATCTTCTAAAAACCATGGAACCCCTTAAGTTTCACCAGCTTCTTGATTTATATGTTTTCTCATTGGCTTAGAGCATTCCCATGGCCCAGATGGTAGGAAAAATCCTATTAGAAGAGATTATTCCCTACTGGGGATCTCCACAGTGCCTGGAGAACCCATTTAACCAGTCAAATTATTTGCTCCTTTTGTAATGCATGGGCAATTTTCTAACACTGGCACTGTATCTATCATCTTCAGTCCTCTAGATCAGTGGAATTCACAAATAGAACAATAAGGATTCAGTTGACAAAACTGACAGAGGTTTTTAACCTTCCCTGGCTGAAGATTCCTTCACTGGTTTTGCTCAACCTTTCCATTTGCTCAACCTAATCCATTTGAAAACCACCAGTGTTTTCCTGAAATAATAACAGGAAAGACCATGCAGGTAGATAAAGGAATATATGAGCCATCTTTCCTCTGAGGAGATATCCTCCACTACTGTCAATGTCTTATTAAAATTTTTACCACAGAAAATCATAAGTAATTAAAGATTATTTTAACAGAAAGGGGTCAGGAGACAAAAACCTGGAAATTGTGATAACTGGAAGTGACATCAAATAATGGACTCCCTCCAACTTCACTGAAAGGGACTCTATTTGGTACTATGAACCAATCTTTGTTCAGCAAAATTAAAATTCTCTGAACCATGGATTCATATTCCTCATTTTAAGGAGTCGTCTTCTCCAGACAGGACCTCCACATCCACTACAGACTTTCAACACACAACCCAGTTCTACATCTTCAGTATCAGAATGAGACAAAGTCCAAATGTGGCAGCCAGCTACTACCAAGATACAAGATCAAAACTGTATGTATTGTTATGATGTTTTCCTATGTGTTCTTGCTAACAATTAGGTGTATCCATTCACTTGACAGGTAATTGTTATATGCCCTCCAATCACTCCCCTACACCTTTAAATCTAAGGCGCTTTACTGGCAACCTGTAAATGTGATTAATATCCTTTTAGGAAATATTCTAACTAGTCATACTTAGATAAATTTTATCAAGCGATAGTTACCACCTAGAACTACACTAAGATATCCATTTTGTTTGATTCTTATGTCTTTGGATATATTAATTACAGAGGAACTCACTTAAGAAAAAACTTCTAGCTGCATGGTATACAATTCTTTTCAATCCAACCATTTTTGTTGCCATTAATACTGATGACCAACTACTGAGGAAAGTCCTTGGGTCTGATGGACAATATATTGCTGCCACATTCACAACATGCTATACCCATCACCTGCACTTTTTTGTGTTAAGAACACAATAAAAGGAAACAATGAGTATCCAACAAGATAGTTGGGATCATCTGGAGGACTAGGAGTCTCACACCAACTAATCTGAACAGCGGCTAAAATCAGTAATTTTCACCATCAGTACACAGCTGAGGTTGAGACCAATTTCATATCCAAATCCTGTTGAAGGCAAGGGAAATGGAAATGTGGTCTACAGAATATATTTGTGAAATAATAAATGGATTTTTTTCATTTAAATAGAATTTTCTGTTCTACCCATTTCCAAGTTCTATCAGGTAATATTTTACTAAATATGGCATCTTGGAATTCCAATACAACTCTTATTAGTGGGCTTTGTAAATACATGGAGATATATATATATATTTAAATTTAATATTTCTTTACCAGACAACATAAATTGAAAATTTATCCTGCTAATCCAAAGAGAAGGGTCAGGATTTAGCCACAAGAAGAGAAAAGGGAAAAAAGAAAGAGGCAAAGGATGACTTGAAAGTAAATTTCTTGTTTTCCATCACATCCTGTAGGAGTCTTTTCAGCAGGCTGAGGAAAACGAACTTTGACATGAATCCTGAAGAAGGCAGGTCCAACACACACCGTGGGAAAAGCCTCAGAAAGCAAACACTGAATACTTGCCCAAGTGACTGGGGCCTAAAAGAAAGTCGAGAGAGGAGGGGGTTAACACATCTGGAATGCAATGCATCCTTTGCCCTTTCATTCTTCAGGGCTGCTCCCTGGTGCTTCTCAAGGCCAGGCTGTCAGCAGCCTCCGGAGGAGCAGCAGCCAGAGCCCCCAGACTGTTGTCTGTTGTAGCGGTTGCAATCACTGCTGCAGGTACAGTTACTGCCACAGGTACAGCCACCGCCACTGCCACCACTGCAGCAGCCAGAGCTCTGGTGTCGGCGGCTGAGAGATTGGGGGGCCTGTGGTGGCTCAGGCAGCAGCCCTCACCTCCAGAGCTGCAGCAGCCTCCAGAGCTGGAGCCACAGCATGAAGAGACCGGAGGTGGGCATGGGGCTGGGCACTTGGGGGCACTCTTAGGGGAACACTTAGGGGAGCGCTTGGGAGGGGGACACTTGGGAGGAAGCTGGCACTGCTGCTGGTTCTGCTGGCAGGGCATCTCGGTGAGAGTTAAGAGAACCTAGACGACGAAATAGAGACTCATCAGATATTCAGTATCCATAGACATTATATTTTTCATATTTTTTGGAATCTTTCCCTAGGATGATGGGGAGAGACGGCAAAAACATGTGGCTATGCAGAGATCAAGTTGAAGCAAGGGCCATATCTTCACTTTTAGACTTCCAGAGAATTCCTAACGTATGCTGAGTGGATAAATCTGATCATATTCAAGATATTGACATTGACGTTCCACACTACTCATGGTATTTTAAGGATAATTTAAATCTATTTTAAGGATAATTTAAGCCCATCACTTTTCTGGGCATAGGATTCAACAACTTATAAATCCATCATCTCCTGGTATATATAAACATAAATTTAAGACTACATAACTCAACCTTCCCTCACAGTGCTGAGCTCAGCCACTGGAAGCACCTGCACTTCGTCTCTCAGACCACAGCAATAACACCTTCCAGCATGGTTCCTGCTCCTTCCAGAGCAAACTTACTGCTCCTGACTGTCACTCCTTCCCCACCATTCTGTCCTCCTCCCTCACACTCCACTGCTCCCTCCTCCTAGAGTCCCTCCAGCCCCCCTCCATCCTGCTCAGCTCCCCCTTCTGGGTTCCCATAGAAGCACTCACCCTGATCTCAGACACAGCCACAGATGTGTCCCCAAGGAGGCAGAGCAGATGAGCAGCCACCAGCAGGGACGCATTTTATATGAGCCCCAGGGCTGGGCTTCAGATGAGCCGTGCTTCCGGAAGGAGCAGGATGTGGCTGTTACATAAGCAGAGCACATGCTGAGTTGCTCCTGACCTAACACCTCCTCTTTGTTCTTTTCACTGAGCCAGGTGTGGCAATGCCCCAACTGCCCTCTTCAAGTCAGGGCTCTGATGTGGAGGAGTAGTTCTGTATGAGGGATTCCGTAAGTCATATTCTTTTCCTCAACTGTGACCTCAGTTTGGGGAAGCTCATCTTTTTCATAGAGGATTCTAGTGCCATGTTCACTGACAGGCCTTTTCTTGGGACGTTGTGGCTGCCCTTCTTTCTCGTCTGTCTTCGGAACCAGACCTTGTCTATCACAAGAAAGAGCCTCTGGACCACTTGGGGTCCAGGAGCTCTGGGCAAGGTTTAGCCTGATGCTGTTAGGGTCTCCTCCATGGCTCCACACATCTCGTGTGTTGTCCCCAGCACAGTGATTATCTGGAAAGCCAACAGTACATATCTCTTTACATTTCTTCATTCAATATCCTCAATGAACACATATATATTTTTAGCAGAAATCTCATTGTTAATATTTGACAATATACTACTTTTTCAGGTCTCAATTCACTCCCTTCCAGTAAATATTGCCCTTATTTTTAATTAGTTCAAGTCTATCCACCTGCCCATGGAACTAGGTCCCTTTTCTCGGTGAATTAGAATCTTTTGCATAGACATCTCTATCAGAACTCCCCATATTGGATCACACAGCTAGTAGATTTCTTGGGTTGACCCATGGATGTGAGAATAAACAACAAAGTAAACCCCCTTTCTCCCATATCTCACTCTTGTCCCCCTAAAAATCCTCTGAAAACTCTCAATCCTAAACCTTCAGCTCAATTAAAAGGGTTTCGATAAAACCAGAACTCACATCAATCTCATTCCCACCTGCCACTCCTCTCGCCTTCAGACTTCCTCCTTAGTGCCTAACACTATTCATCCAACCGCACCTCACCCACCTCGCTGCAGAGCAACCGCAATAATAAACTGTCACAGCGTGGGCCATCATACAGAAGTGTTGTAAGACTGACAATATACTCATAGTCTATCATTTCTGCTCTGTAAGTTTTTATTATTCTATTTGCTGCCTGTAATTTTATATTCTCTATGTAAATGATATCCCTTACCAAAGTAAAATGTCTTTGTGTTTTAAACACTTTATAGCTTGAACTCTACCTTGTCCAATAGTCTGATAATATTCAACTTTTTATCATTTGCATTGACCTGGCATACATGTATGTCGCCCTCTATTTTTCAATTTTGAATTATTTGACCCTTGAATACAATACACTGCTGAATTATCTTTGTGGAGCTGATATGAACTTATAAATATTTTTCAAACAAATTTGTTTCTCTTTAGTCTTCCAACACGGTGACATATTAGTCCAAGGTTGGCCCCCTTATTTTGTGCAAATACTTTTTCGCCAGCACCTTTGATCGTCTCTTCAATACAACTGTTGCTCCCAGCTCACCCTGTCCTTTTGCTTCACCTGCCCCAGACATCCTCAGTAGGTGGGAAACCACCTGGAAATTTCCTCAAGAAGAGCCCCATAAGACAAAGCCAAAGTTTAAAGCATTTGTCTGTTACCTTCCCCACTTCAAGGACAGCTGGACTGAACCCAGATTCCGTGGTTCACACTTCTGCTCTTTTTGGAGGTGTTACCTCCACCGTTGTCTGGCATGGCTTGCTGCTGTGGAGAAGCTTGATTATCTCTCCCTCACAGTGACTTGGTCTTTTTGTCTGACTTACCCAAGGGTTCTTTGTTTATTTTTTAGTACAGCTGATTTATTAGGATGTCTCACTGTCCCCTTCAGAATAGGGACTTGGCTTCTCTTGTACTTCAAAAAAATGTTTTGGAACTACTTTTTAAAATATTTATTTTTTTCTCTTTTTCTTTTTTTCTGGTTTACTAATTTTGAAACTTTATGCATGCATACTTCTCCTTCTAGGCACTGAGCCTCTTCCCTCTCTGCCTTCTGCCCTCACTCAGGGCTTCCTTCTGGCTCCCACAACACATCTACCCTGGCTGCACTCTGTTGGCAGATGCAGCTCTGGGCATACCTTAGGGGAGTGGGGCCCCTGGGTGAGCGGGAGCTCCCACAGGAACAATACTGGCCCTTGCAGGACCAGGGCAATCAAATCACTGCTGTATCCCCTGCCTCCTTGATTCCTGAGCAAGAATGGGAACTACTCAAATGCCTCTCTAGCGCCATCACAGCCTAAACTTCAGAAGGTCAGTTTCCCAGGCCAGAGTCTTATGGAAATTCAGGAAATTCCTAGACCCCAGGATCAGCATCTTCTTGTTCAGGTCACCATCATGCTAAGAAAGCAGTGGTGTCCTGGCTCTTTGTCTTGCTCCTAAGGGCAGTGTCTTTCTTCCCAGAAGTCCAGGCAGTCTCCACTTGGGAACAACAGTATCCAGGCTGCCTTCCCTTCAGAGCTCCCATTCCCACTCTCCTTGCCCTCTGGATGCTCTAAAATACCGCCCCCCGCCCCCACCCACCCCGCCACCGTAGTTTTTCAGAAGCTGCAGGACTTGCCCCTATATCTGGCAGCTGAGCTGCTGGAAGAAGGGGAGTCCCACACTAGGCTCTTTGCTTTTAAAATAATAATATAGAAGTTATACAACTAAAAAAAGGGGAAATAAATATTGGAGGCAACTAACTCTTTTGATCATAGTATGGCTTTCTAGGAAAAAATGGCCAAGACCCTTGGGTATCTCAAAGCAGTGCCCTAGGAGTGCAGCAATGCATCCGTGCCCTTCATCGAAAAAAGTAAGGTGTCTCATGCCTATGAAGCCACCTCCAATGGTATGAGGAGAGGCCAGTTTCCTCAGGCGAACAGAGGAAAGTCAATTATTTGGCAGTCACCTTGGGAATTCCCACAGGTGTGGCTCAGGAAGGGGTGTGCACTGTGTTTTGAGGGTGGCGTGAGACACTGCCTGGAGAAACACTGACTTGTCCTGACCCATATTATGAAGGACAACTACGGAAATGAATGACTGGAAGTGAAGCTTCAGTGCAGAGGCTCCTGAGCTGGTGGCTTTCTTGTCCAGGTCTCCTTTCTGCCTGGGTCCCAAGCAGCAGGGTTGGAATCCTAGCATCTTGGTGTACTGGGGATTTTACTAATGCTCAGCAATAAGGATGGAGGAGAAGAAAAGCAAAAGGAGCCAGGATGAGACATGGAACTCGCCCCATGGCCCCAGAGAACAACTTTCTTGATGTTAAGAATGTGAAATAAAAATAATCCTGTAGTTTACTGAAGAGCTATTATTTTAGCTTTCTGTTCCTAGCAGCTTGGCCAAATTTCCAACACAGGCACATATCCAAACAGGAAAATCCAGTGTGATACACAAACAGGCATGCCTGAGCTTATGCTACACGTGGGAGGGCAGGGAAACAAGATCTCATTATGGAAGGGGACCAAGAAGCAGTAAGCAGCACCAGGAAAGGAAGCGTAGTTTGCTCTCACTTTTTAGGTGTCTTAACCACAAAAAATAAGTTATACAAAGTAAGACTTGCTTTAAAGGGGGGGGGGGAGGTGTCCCTAAAGGTGGACCTGAGTATCCAGTTCCTTTTAAGCCTTCTGTGACATCAGACTGAAATTCTTTGTTAAGTGCTTTGGCACACATTTCTTATAACTGTTTCAGTTCTCTTCCACTGTTCTAAAAGTTTCAATTTCAATACGCAATGCCTATCCCAGGTAAAAGGTTTCCAGTGAAATGTATGAGCTCATTGCCTGGAGGACCTAGTATTAAAAAGGTGCAGTTTTATACAAAATAATCTATACATTCAGTTATAATCCTATTCAAATTTGCAACTTTTCTGTTATCTTATATATTTAAGGTATAGTGCAACAGATTTTTAATACTTTTACTGGCTATAGACTGAGATATAATTCACGAACCATACAATTCACCCATTAAAAGTATATGATTCAGTAACTTTAAGACATTTATAGCTATGAAATCATCACCACAATCTAATTTCAGAATATTTTTCACCCTAAAAATAAACCTTATATCTTTCCCATTTTTAAGTGAGCACTGATCAGCATTCTCTCTATATTCATTTACCTGTTTTAGACATTTCATATAAATAGAACATAACATGATAATTATGTAACCAGCTCCTTTTAGTTAGCACAGTATTTTCACATTTTATCCAAAGTGTATGTATCAGTGCTTCATTGCTTTTTACTGCTGAATAATACCAAATTGCATGAATATAATAT